CAGCTCTGACTGGTGGCTTTACCTTTCTCTGGGTGACAGAAGCTACTTGACCTGTTTGTCACTGTTCTTGGTTTCTGAGCAGTTTGGGAACAGGGAGAGACACAGTAAAAATTAACCTTCTTAAAACACACACACACACACAGGAAGAGGAAGAAAAGAAGTCACCCTCACCAACTTGTTATATTCTATGACATACAGACCATAGAGGAAAGGCAGGAAAAATGTGACACTTTGTGTCTAGGTTCTCTCACTTAGCATTTTTAGGGTCTCTTTAAATGCTAGGCAAGCACTCAGCCACAGAGCTACACCCCCAGCCCAGCAGGTTGTTTTTAAGATTCATGCATGTTATAGTGTGTGTTAGTACTTCATTCCTCTTTAGGGTGGGATAATATTCTATGCACGTGGCTACACTTTTTTAGCCGCCTATCAGTTGATGAACATTTGGGTGTTTCCACCTTTAGACTACTGTGAATAGTACTGTTACAAATATGGTAATTGGGTTCTATTTTTGTTGGTATTGAACTGGGGTTTGAATTCAGGGCCCCGTGCTTGGCAGGCACTCATGCTAGTGGCTATGAACACTTGTGTACAAGTATTTGTTTGAATATGTTTTCAGTTCTTTTTTCCTTTTCTTTTTTGCTGTACAGGGGCTTGAACTCAAGGCCTATACCTCAAGCCACTCCACCAAACCTTTTTTTTGTGAAGGGTTTTTTCTAGATAGGGTCTCACACACTGTCTGCCTGAGCTGGCTTTGAACCATGATCCTTCTGATCTCTGCCTCCTGAGTAGCTAAGATTACAGGCATGAGCCACCAATGTCCAGCTGTTTTTAGGTTTTTGTGGTATAAACTAAGAAATAGAAGTCCTGAGTCACATGGCAATTCTGTGTTTAACTTTTTGAGAAACTGCCAAACTGTTTTACATGGTGGCCGCACACCTTACATTTCCCATAGCTACATGTGATAGTCCAAATTCTCCACATCTGTGCCAACATTTACGCTTTCTTTTCCTTCTTTGTACGTTAACCATTCTGGTGGGCATGAAGCAGTATCACTTTGTGGTTTTGATGTGCATTTCTCTAATGACTGATGGTGTTGAACATATTTTCATGTGTTTATTGGCCACTTGTTTCTCATGAGTTGGGGATCTTACTATGTAGCCCAGGCTGGGCTCAAACTCTGAATCCTCCTGCCTCAGCCTCCCAAGTGCTGGAACTATAGGTGTGCCACCAAGCCAGCTCCCAGCTCAGTATTAATTTGGGCTGTTTGTCTTTTGTTGTTGAGTTATAAGTATTGGGGTGTCTTTGTTGTTGTTGCTTTGCTTGTACTTTGAAGTGGCTTTGAATTCCGGGTCTGGCGCTTGCTAAGCAAGCAAACTACCCCTTGAGTCACACCTCCACCTCATAGATGGTTTTTACATGGTATAAGATCTAGACTCATATGATTTTCAGTTTCTTCTCCCTCTCTAGGTACTGGTGCTTGAACCCAGGGCCAACACCTTGAGCCACTCCACCAGCCTTTTTTGTGATTTTTTTTTTTTTGGATCTCATGAACTATTTGCCCTGGCTGACTTTGAACCATGATCCTCCTGATCTCTGCCTCCTGAGTAGCTAGGATTACAGGCGTGAGCCACAGGTGGCCAGTTAGGTTTTTCTTGTTTTTGTCTTCACTTTCTTGAAAATGGTCCTTGGTCTAGGTTGTGAGTTTTTGACATGACATTAGGGTCTCTGATAGTTCCTTTGCTCCCTGGAATGACCGACCAGATGCACTAGGCCAATCTTTACATTACCTTCCCCTTATCTGGAATGATTCATTTTGGGGAAGGAAATCATATTGGGGTGGTAAGTGCACTCTTTGCTTCTGGATTGGTGATTGTTTCTAGGTCCTTTCTATTGACCCAACTAAGAAATACTAACCCAGATCTCAAAGAAGAGCTCTACCACTGAGCTACATCCCCAGACTTCTTTTATTTTTCTTTCTTTTCTTTTTTTCAGTTCTGGGACTTGAACTCAGGGCCTACTCCACCAGCTCTTTTTGTGTTAGGTAATTTTGAGATAGGGTCTTGTGAACTATTTGCCTGTGTTGACTTCAAACTGCAATCCTTCTGATCTCTGTCTCCTGAGTAGCTAGAATTACAGACTTGGGCTACCAGCACCCAGCTCTCTTTTTCAAGAGAAAATACACCTCAAATTCATACTTCTATTTCTAATTCAAATTTAGGTTTTTACTCCTCTGATCTTTCTATCCATATCTCTTTTCTCGTATGTTGAATATGTTGGTTTGTAGCAAAGTTAACATAATTACCTATTTGTTTGATTCCATAGCACAATTATTTTGAGCAATGTGACTAACAGGAATTGAACTTAACTTTTCTTTGCAGGTTTTTCTTGTTATTTTTGTTTTTGTCTTTCCCTTAAAATATATCTCAACAGGGATCTAGAACCAAAACAAGTTCTGTGTTTTAAAGACATTTTAAATAATTCCTCTGGGGTTCAGAGTGTGGCTCAAATGGTAGAGCACTTGCCTATCAAGTACAAGGCCCCAGCACTCCCCCCAATATATAAAATAAAATAAATAATTCCTCTGATGGCTAAGTCACAAACTTATTGCATAATTAGACTCAGTGATTTCTTGTTATGTTTAACTTTTATGGATTGCTTTTATTACCTTTGGAAAATCTCAAAGAATCTACCAAAAGTTCCTGAAACTAATAAGTGAATAGCAGGCTCACAGTATACAAGGTCAGTCTATGAAAGTCAATTGCTCTCTTACATACCAGCACTAAACAATTAGGATTTGGAGAAGACATCGCAATAGCACCAAAGAAAAGAAAGAATTACCTATGTATAAATCTATAAAGATGTGTACAGGATCTGTACGTAGAAAACTTCTCGGACGGAAGAAATTAATGACCTAAATGCATGAAAAGACATCCAATATTCGTGAATCAGAAGACTTAATATGGTTAACGCGTTATTTCTTCACCCCGCCGGATTCCAGAAATTCAGAAAATCGCTACGCTCGGGGTGTCTGGATAGCTCTGGCTTCTGAATGCCCAATCTTTTAGTGGTCATGAAGAAACCTGATTCCAACTAGGCACGGCGGGCCTCGTGGCGCAACGGTAGCGCGTCTGACTCCAGATCAGAAGGTTGCGTGTTCAAATCACGTCGGGGTCAGTTTCTTTTCCTGTGGCCTAAATTACTTTGCTTTAATTCCTTTTATATTCAATTCTTGTCCAGCCTCAATGCTCTGAGAAGAAACTTCTCATAAAGGACGGGGAGGTAAGGACTTTGGCGCCGGGGGTCTCGATCTCGTGGGTACTTTTGGAGGGAATCCATGTTATTTTGGGCTTAGTGGGGCTTCTGAGGACAGGCGCATACCTGCACGGCTGGGCCAAGCGGGAGGAGGGCGAGTGTCGCACGCCGGGGGTTGCTCGATCCTCGCGCTGTTAGTTTTCTTTTCAGTACTGGGCAGACTCCCTGGCTCTCTTCCGGACGTAGGCGACCACCCCACAAGCAGGAGAGCAGGACTGACAGTTCAGATCCGAGGGAGAAGAACCTGCAGCAGTAACAGGAAGACGAGGTGGCCGAGTGGTTAAGGCGATGGACTGCTAATCCATTGTGCTCTGCACGCGTGGGTTCGAATCCCATCCTCGTCGGTGAGTGATTGCGTGTACCTGCATTCAGTTTTGTAATTCCGAAGCGAGGATTTCTGTCAACACGACCGTTTCATTCAACGTTTCCCGACTACTAGACACTCTTTCCCCTATAAGGGTTTTCGTCGTTTCTACTTAATTTTCCAGCACTGCCAAGAATTAAACAATCATAGACCTTTGTGCTTAGCTAAGGCGGAGCTAACCTGGCCAAGGAATCGAAGCACAACAAATACTGGGTAGGCGCCGTGGCTTAGTTGGTTAAAGCGCCTGTCTAGTAAACAGGAGATCCTGGGTTCGAATCCCAGCGGTGCCTCTGTAGCCACGTGCTTTTACAACCGCTCGTAGTTTCAGCTTCTTGTGGGACCAGAACGTATAAAACATTTGCCTTTCCTGGTGCACCCATCAAACTTTCGCCCAACCCGCTGCGCGCCCTCAGGCGTCTAGACTGTTTTTGTTTGTTTGGTCCCAGCGCTAAGTACTGCATTTTGCCCCTTGTGCCCGCCCTATTTGCACCTCGACCGGCAGCCAGGTGCCATAATGAGTAAGTGCTCAGCGGATCAGTTTGTATATTCTTCTTTCATGTGTTCTAAATGTGTCCATCCTGAAAGTTTTATCAAGGCACGACGGAGTAATAGTTTCCCTTCACATAGTTTCACCTCACAGTCTTCACCGTAGCTGGCCGGTTAGCTCAGTTGGTTAGAGCGTGGTGCTAATAACGCCAAGGTCGCGGGTTCGATCCCCGTACGGGCCAGTGTCAGGAAGTCCTCCGTTTTTTTTTTCCCACTTTAGAAAAAGGATATCCTGTTAATCGTTTTCAGACACGAAATATAAATGGGGTAAAGTCCTGAAGCAACATATCAAATCATAAGCTCTTCACATGCTAAAAAGAAATGCGCTGGAATTCAATCTGAATTGGGAGTGACTTGGAGCCCCTGTGGTGAAACTTCTTTCTGTGATCTCTGCTTCTAAATTTCATGACTGTCACATGACTATGTAAGTTCTGTGAATAGAAGATTGTTTCAAATCATCACAGATGGCACTGATCGACATTGCGGATTGTCAGGACCAGAGCTGTCAAGTGTTCCTCTTTCTTCACAGCTCCTACCTGCCCACCAGACCCTGAGACGATAACCCCTCCCCCTCTTCTTCTAGAGGATCTTGCTTGCAAGTCTGCTTTTACTGAATCTCTGGACCCCTGCGTGTGATTATCTGTCTTTCATCCCTCCCTCAGATCCACACTGCTGACAGCAGGAACCATATTCTTCCCCATGTAGCCTGGGACCCCCACCTCACTTCCAGTACCCACCCCAAGGGAGCTCCGTGAACAAAACCAACCTGCATTCCCATTCCTTTGGCTGGTCAACAACCCGTGCAACCCCACACAGACGCAGCCTCAGCCTTAGCAGCAGCAGCAACTTTAATTCCACAAAAACTCAGAAAGCCGAAACTGATTAGAACACTCCACAACAGGTGGGCTTCAAAACCGGCAACAATTCCACCTGAACCCTGAGAGCAGCGAGACACCTCCCACGTCAGCCCCTCCTCCATGCAATGTGCCCTTCTCTCAGCTCCACCCCAGTTCTGGCTAAGGAAGTGATTTTGGAGGGGACCTGAGGGGAGAAGCAGGAAGGTCACCTGCAGGTGTGCACTCTTGCCCGCATGGCTAGTGGCCAAGGACTACTCAAGCTTCCCTGGCACCTGAGATATGGGCACTGGAGTCAAGATGGCCACAGTGAGGCTGGGGCCCTCTGTTCCCTTCTCTTGGTCACCCTCAAGCCCAGACCTGGGTTGCCAGGGATGGTGCTCTAGCTAGGGAGAAGAGCTGGGAAGAACAGGGTAGTTATAGATGGTCAACTGAATAGAAGCAGAGCAACATCCCCTCCCACCAGGAGAACTGTTAGAACTTCCCCATATACGCTTCCCTAAAGCCCAGTGAGTGGGCAGGCACAGGCCAGCTAAATGCATCTGGAAGAACCTCCAACACATAGGCCTCCCCTCGGCGAGCAGTTTCCCCCAGGACTCTTTGAAGAGTCCTTAGGGTCCTGCTGGGCCCTTCCCTGGCCGGACGCGCGGCCTCCTCAGTCCTCCTGGTCACTTGCATAGGGCCTCCAACACCTCCAGAGTGCGTCGGATATCTCGGACTTGGCGCGCCAGTCCCTGAACCGGCTGCAGAGCCCGCTCCAGCTCCTCGCAGCGCGCCAGCAGGGTGTACATTCCCTTGATGCTCATGTCCACGGCTTCGCCTAAAGAGTCCACCGCGTCGCGGTAGGTCTGAATGCAGCCCACGCTCAGCGCTGTCAGCTCCTGCACCGCACCACCTAGCCCGCGAAGCAGACGGTCCACCCGGCCGCCCAGTTCTCGACTCAGCCGCTCCAGATCTCGAAGCACGTCTGGGTCGATGGGCGGGATGGTGGGAGTGGGTGCGGGTGTTAGGCAGGGCCGCACAGGGGCCGAGGGAAGGGGTGTAGGGGCGCCGCTCAGCCGGATCTTGAGTTGCAGGTTGTTGGCAACAAAGTGGGTGAGGTCGCCGTGGCGGCTCACGGTGCCCTCGAGCTCCAGGGGGCTGGAGATGGTGGCGCGCCGTCCGCCGCCAGCGCCGGACTCAGCACCCGCTGCGGACCCCGCGCCGCCGCACGCCCCACTTAGCCCATCCAGGCTGCGGCTATCCTGAAGGCGGCTGGAGAACGAGCGGCCAGCCCTACCGGCCGCCGCCGCCTCTTCGTCGTTGTCGTCCTCCTCTTGCTGAGGCTGCTCGACATTCATCTCGACTCCTCCCGGGCTCCCTCGACGGCAGACCCTCTCCGATGCAGGCTTGTCCTCGGGCGGCTCCGGGTCCTTGCGCTGGGAAGACGGAGGCGGGTCGTGTTCCGAACCTGGCTCCTCCGGGAGGCTGCCGGCCCCGGACGGCGTCGCTCGGGGGCCGGGCTCGTCCTCGCAAACCTCCCGTTCCGGCCGGTGGACGATGCTGCTACTCGAAGTCTTCGCGGTCGCTCTGGGGTGGCGCCTCGCGACCCCAACGTTCTCGGCCTCTTCCTCCCTGGGCACCCTCAGAACCGCGGGCGGCTTAGAGGGCGTTCGGCCCGGCCCGCCGCTGTAACTCGCGGCCTGTGGTTCAGCTAGAGCCAGAAGGTCTGCTTCGGGCCCGGGCCGCCCCCGGGACGACTCCATACTGCGAACGGGGGCCGGAACCGAGGAATTGGTCCGCCCCAGCTCCGGAGGCGGCAGCGGCGCCTTTAAGGGGCGTTGGTAGAGGCGGGCCGATTGGCAGCCGGCTGACAGTGGTAAGGACAGGAAGAGCGCTCTGATTGGTCGCGGTGACCAGGAAGTCCCGGAAGAAGAGCTGTTATTGTACAGCGGAATACACGTGAAAGGCAGTGGGGTAGCGGGAAGGAGGTGACAGCTGCGCTCACCGCCCCGCCCTTTTGGAAATCTGAGCGGGCAGATCTTAAAGGCGAAGGCCCTGAAATACCAGAGTCCCGAGGAGGCGGAGCTCAGACGTTTTCCGCCCGCAGTTGTACCGCCCACAATTTTTGCTTAGCAAACACACCACATGGGGATGAGTCTTAGGGTTCCTAGGAATTCCTGAGGGGTGGAAATAGGATATCCTTCTTGGACCCTCAGGGTTGAACGACACCTAGTTAACCAAGAAGGATGAAATCAGAATTCGCAGGTGAGCATGGTTTGTTCCATACTCCTGGTTGACAGACCTAATGGTTGAACTGTCCAGAGTGACTCAAGGTGGACAGTGCACAGAGGGCCCTAAGGGCTTCCCTGTGCTTTTGCTTCTGTTTTCCGTCTCCTGCCCTCTCTACATCAGAAGTTTCTCCCATTGGAGGATGATGTGTGATTTTTCTCAAAGGTAAAATATTCAACAAATGAAAAGATCACAAATTTCGAAAAGCCCTTTATAGAAAATAAGAAGTTGTGATTGAGAATAACCAGGCTGACACTAGTTTGATGAGTCCTCTTTGATGAGAAGACTGAAAGGAACCAGAAAGGACCCACCTTGCAGGCAGAGAGAATAACTAACGCTAAACCTCAGAAACAAAAAGGCTTGACATAAAAACTGGAGGGAGGGAATCAGGAGACACTGGAGATAAAACAAAATGAGCAAAGAGGAGAATTTCCAATCATGAGGCTAAAGAAGCAAGTAGGGCCACATCATTCCGGGCCTGTAGTTCCTGTTGAAGAGTCGAGATTTCTTCCAAATTCCACTGTAGACACTGGAAAAGTTGTAAGCTATAAAATGTAGCGATGGCTCTGAGACACTTGTGTTTAGTAAAAATAATTCACTAGCCTAGCTTGGTGGGATAGGCCTGTAATTATACTTTGGAGACTGAAGTAGGATGTCAGTCTAGGCTCCATAGCAAGAACCTCCATAGCAAAAACCATACCACAGCGACAAAGCCGAACAGCACAGAAACAACAGCTAACTCTCCATAGCTAATAAAAAGTGTGATTTTTTTTCCCTTTTTTTTTTTTTTTATTTAGTTTTATCGTTTTTACATTTACTCACATGTGTACACATTGTTTGGGCCACCTCGCCCCCACACCCCTCTTTTCTTTTTAACTTTTGTGAAAAATTCCCACAATCACAGTGGATCAGGTTATAGCAGAATCTCTTTCTGGGCCTGGGGGCCTGGCTCAAGCTGTAGAGCACCTACCTAGCAAGCACCAGGCCCTGAGTTCAAACCCTAGTACCATCAAAAAAAAAAAAAAAAAAAAAAGACAGAACCTCCTCTGGTTTTTGACAGCACTGACATTGGCTTTTGCAGTCCTCTGACTTTCTTCTGTTCTTTCATTTCTTTCACTCTTTTCTTGAGGTCTTTTTCTTCCCATAGAGGCTGTGTCTTACAAGTCTATGTGGGTTCATTTTTCTTTACATAATTCAGGAAATCGTAAGTCATGTCAAAGCTAGTTGTCTTGCCACCACCAAAATGGGTTCTAAATCCAGACACAAAGATGATGTTTAGTGTTATCTTGTATACTTTGGCTATTTTTTCCCAAGTTTCTGCTTTAGGAACTGTTGCCTTTCCAGGGTGAAGGACACTGATGACTAGTTTGTTTCCTCTGAAGTTGTTAAGTTGGTCATGAATTTCCTGGGGCTAGTCTTGAACCTTGATACTCGTGATCTCGCCTCCCAAATAGCTAGGATTCCTGGTGTGAACCACCAGTGCCCAGCTTGAGATGTATTTCTGTTGCTTTCACACAGCTTCCAGACTAATATGCCATGAGTCTCATGGTGCCCTCTAAGCTTCTCGATCCCTCGGACTGACATCCCCCTTGTCATCCTTTTGCCTCTCCACAGGTGGATGGTCCATCAGATACAAGTGAACCACTACCACCGCCAAGGAGACTTTATTGTCTCATGTAATAATGATCTGAAGTCAGAGTGAGCTTCAAAGAAGTCTGAATTCAGTGGCGTAAGACAGTTATTAAAGACCTGGTTTCTATGATGGGGGCAGCTTTATCCCAAATTAACTTCCTCATAGTGCCCAAATGGCTATGTCACTTGTCATTCTTTTTAGAGTCATTTGTCATTGCCTTACAGGAGCTGAATCTCATTGTTTGAGAACTCTTCCACTTTGTTTTTTTTTTTTTTTTTTTTCATTTTTCTTTTATTATTCATATGTGCATACAAGGCTTGGTTTATTTCTCCCCCCTGCCCCCACCCCCTCCCTTACCACCCACTCCACCCCCTCCCGCTCCCAACTCTTCCACTTTGGAAGGCAGAGCTCATCTCCCACTACAAAGACTGAGATACTAACCCCCTGTCCCCGTTCCTCCCCACCAAGTACTGAGGTGTGACCTCAGAGCTTTGGGCTTGCTAGGCAGGCACTCTACCACTTGAGCCATGCCTTTGTCCCTGCTTTCCTTATTTTTTGAATAGGGTTTCCTGTTTACACCCAGGTCCTATTTAGGCTTTCCATGTAGCTGGAGTGATAGGCATGTGCCTCCTCACTCAGTTTTTATTGATTGAGAGGGAGTCTTGTGAACTTTTTGCCCTGGCTGGCTTCAAACTGCCATCCTCCTGATCGCCACCTTCTGCATAGCTAGGATTACAGACACAAGCCACCATTTCCAGCCAGCCAGTCCCTTTCCCAGTTTACTTAGAGCATGGTTCAGACTCCACTGTGGTCTACTGGACTATTTGGGCAGTGGGGTTTTTTCCTTGCTGTGTAGAATCCACACCTAGTCCTCCAACATTACTAGAGACTCTGAATTACTTGGGATGCTTTTTGTTTTTGTTTTGTAGATGAGGTCTCACTCTGTAACAACTTAGGCTGGGTTGGAACTCTGGATTCAGGATTCTTTTTTTTTTTTTTTAGTACTGGGGCTTGAACTCAGGGCCTTCACCTTGAGCTACTCTACCAGCCCTATTTTTGTGACAGGTTTTCTAAGATAGGGTCTCATGAACTATTTGCCCGGGCTTACTTCGAACCCAGATCCTCCTGATCTCTGCCTCCTGAGTAGCTAGGATTACAGGCATGAGCCACCAGTGCTCAGATCAAGATTCTTATAATGAGCTCCTTTTCTACTTAAACGAGCCAGAGTTGTTTTCTGTTGCATACATTCTGAAACCCTAACTGATATATTCTGGAATACTGATATATTCCAGAAAAGGGAGGAATAGCTCCCATTAGACCTCTCAGAAGAACAAAGGTACATCTTTCCCCAAACTCCAGTTAATCCCCCTTTACATCTCAATGGTCTAAATTGGTTCATATGCCCTATTTAGTTATGATGACCAGATGTGTCATGACACATCTGACCAGTTAGGCCTGGGTACCTAAAAGCAATCACGTTGGCAAGGGAATAAGATCAGATTAAAGCAATTATGCTCCTTGTGGGTGGGTCAGTTCCCTCCAAACTCAAGTAGCTGCAGAGAAGAGAGGATGAGGGGAAGTGAACAGTGTCCACTACCATAGGGGTCAGCAAAGTATGACCCGTGGGTCAAATCCAGCTTATCATCTGTGTGACTGAGAGCTATATTTTTACAGGATTGAGAGAGAATACGAAAACTTATAAAATCAAATGAAACTCAAATTTCAGTGTCTATAAATAAATTGTTCTTGGAACAGTCATGTAGTCATGTTCATTCACTTATGTACTGTCTATAGTTTCTTTTTTTTTTTTGCAGTTCTGGGGTTTGAACTCAGGGCCTTCGCCTTGAGCCACTCCACCAAACCTATTTTTGTGATGGTGTTTTTCAAGATAGGGTCTTGTGAACTATTTGCCTGGACTGGCTTCAAACCATGATCCTCCTGATCTCTGCCTCCTGAGTAGCTAGGATTACAGGCATGAGCCACTGGCGCCCAGCTTATGGTTTCTTGTGAGTTATTTTTTTTTGCTGATGCTGGGGTTTGAACTCAGGGCCTCACACTTTCTTGCTAGGCAGGCACTTTTACTGCTTGAGTCACTCCACCAGCCTGTATTGTTCCAATTTTCGTATATGTGCTGCCAAAGCGAGCACTGGTTTCTTTTGAGCAATAATGACAGCGTGAAGTAGTTACAACAGAGGTCATCTCAACAAAACAAGCCAGTCTCATGGTGGCACACCTGCATCCAGCTACAAGGGTAGCCACAGGTAGGAGGATCCCAAGGCCAGCCCCAAGCAAAACTCAAGACCCCACTTGAAAGATAGCAAAAAGTGTTGGTGGCATGACTTAAGTGGTAGAGCCTAGTAAGCACAAGATTCATTTTGATCAAAATTTTAAGTAAAGACAGGCGCTGGTGGCTCACACCTGTAATCCTAGCTACTCAGGAGGCAGAAGTCAGGAGGCTTGGATTGTGGTTTGAAGCCAGCCCAGGCAAATAATTCATGAAATCTATCTCACACACACACACACACACACACACACACACACACACACACACACACACAATGTCTGGTGGAGTGGCTCAAGTGTTAAGAGCACTTCCACAAAAAAAAAAAAAAAAAAAAAGTGAAAGGCAGAAAAATATTGAAAGTCTCTCATAGCCTCAGTATTGGGCTTTGGTTGCCAGCTGATGGGTTTTTGGAAGTGACTGGATCCTGAGGGTCCTGACCTAATCAGCGGATTAACCCTAGATGGATTCAAAATTTGAAGGCATTATTTTGAGGTGACTGAGCCTAGCTGGAGGAAGTAGTTAGTAGGAGTGTGCCCTTGGGGATATATTTTATCCCTGACCCCTTTCTGCCCCTCTCTTTCTGCTGCCTGGTCACCATGATTTTCTGCCTCATCTCAGGCCCAAAGCAATGGATCCAGTCACCCTTGGACTGAAACTTCTAAACCTTGAGCCAAAATAAATCCTTCCTCCTTTTAACTTGCTTCTCTCAGATACTTGTCCCAGCAGCAGAAGTTGGACTAACAGAGGAATCTTCCCCAGTGTGTTCCACTATCCCCACTCCTAGGCATTTAGGTGGCTTCCAGTTCTTCATCACTGCAAGGAAAACACCCCTACAACACACAAACTTGTTTATATTCATGTGCTGGTGCTTTTATTTTTTTCAGAATCAATTCCTAAAAGTGGAATTGCTAGGTCAAATGGTTTGCCTGTTTTAAATTTCACTAGACATTGCCAGATTTCTCTTATAAAAGGCTGTGGTAATTCATACTCCCAATCGGTCAGTCAGGCAGGCAGGCAGGCAGATAGGCAGTCAGGGAGTCAGACAGGCAGTCAAGCAGGCAGTCAGTCATTAGGCAGGCAGTAAGTACTCTTAGGTTCCTCCTAAGTGCTAGATACTGTTCCAGACTCTAGGGATACATCTCTGGGCTGCTCTCTTAAAGGATTATACTTTAGTATGGAAGGTAGATAATGAGCACATAAACCGACAAGCAAAAATAATTCCAGAGGGGCCATAGGCATGGCTCAAGTGGTAGCAGGCTGACCTTGAAAGTACAAAGCTCTGAGCTCGAACCCCAGTCCCACCAAAACATAAATGAAATTCCAGAGAATGAGGCGTTTGAAGAGCGTGAGGGAACAGTGAAGAAGGAGTCAGAACAGGGTGTGCTGAGCCCCAGTGAAATTTGTTCCTCCATAGATCCCACCCTGCCCCCAAGGCCAATGTTGGGGGTGGCAGAGTCTCTGCTCCCGGTCTTGCCAGGGCCACATTGCTCCACAGAAGTGCAGACAGACAGGCTTTCAGGAGAGGAGAAAGAGAGGTTATTTCCCAACTGATCGGGGGAACAAGACCAGATCCCTGGGAATCAGAAGGGTGGCTTTTCAGTCTTTTTTCCATCATCATCCATTTAATGAGTGACCATCAAGAATGCAAAGTGAGCAACACCCTGCTCAGTTTGACTCAGTTCTTTGATATCCTTCCTCAAAAGAATTCATCTAGGACAGATTTTTTTTCCCCACACCCCAAGGCACGGGTCCTTGTTGAGTGACTGTGGAATAATAGCACTCAGGGTTTGTGTGGGTGGGAATTGTGTTTCTGGCCAAACACAGTGGCTTGTGCCTGTAATCCCAGGCTTATAGTTTAGCAGTTTTAAAAAACAAAGTGTATGTACCCAAACTATGAAAGCTATAAACAAACTGTAAGCAGGGTAAAAAACAAGTGAAAATAAATATATCCAGTGCCGTACAATTTACAGAGGGGAAATCTCCACATGCTAAAAATGTACTGTTTTCTAAAAGTATGTAGATATGAAAGAGACCTAGAAAGCTATTGCCAAATCGATGAATATTAGTTTCTGATATTAGGATGCTTGGAAAAGTGAACTTTCACCTTACTCATATCATTTATAAGAGAATCAACTCATTTAATTTGTGCAAATTTAAAAAAAAACAAAACTCATTGTAGAGAAACAATACAGCTCAACTCCAAGCCTTAGGGAAACGGAGTCTGGGGTGAAAGATGAGACAGCAAAAGCAGGGCACCTGCCCAAGAGGCTAGGAGCAGAGCCCACAGAGGGAATCCCATGTGTTTGGAGCTTTCAAAATACTCTTGAAATCAGAGGAAATGATAATGTTCATTGAAATAATAAGATATACAACATACCAAGCCTACGTGGTACAATGAAGTGATACTATATTGAATGCTCACAGCTGTAAATGCTGAGACGGGGGAGAACGTGTAGGTAGACTATGTAGGGAGCCAAGCCAATGACACAAGACAACTGATGACTTCAGGGATAGTCAAAATGTACAAGACATGGACTGAAGTGTGGCTCAAATGGTAGAGTGGGCTTGAAGCCCTGAGTTCAAACTAGTACCACCAAAAAAAAAAAAAAAAATTGCACAAGACAGGAAAATAATAGAATGCTACCTAGTCAGCCTGGCCAGCCTCTCAGTCATGACATAAACACTGGACATTGGCCATCTAGATGTGTAAGCTTTGTGGCTTAAAGGACTTTTTTAGTGTGCTGCTGGGGATGGAAGCTTGGGCTTCATGCATGCCATACATTGCTCTACCACTAAGCTACCCTGGCCTCAACCTCCCCTTGACTGAGTGCTTTACCCCAGCCTCCAGAACAGACCTGGAACATAGAAGGTATTCAAGTAACTACTGTCAAATGAATAAACCCAACCAAAATTATGATGTAACCACCTCTGAAGGATGTGGAGAGAAAATGTACATGTGTATGGTGGTAGTGAAAGAGGAAAATCCTTTTTTGCAGCGTTGGGTCTCTAACCCAGGGCCTTGTACTTGGCTCTACCACTGAGCTACACCACCAGCCCCCAAATCCTCAACTTTTATATTGTTCCCGCTACAAAATAGGTAATGTCTAAAAGTAAAAAGTAGCAAGGGAAGCATGTGATTCAGAAACAGACAGTCCCTGACTTATGATGGTCTGACTTTCAAGTTTTTGACTTTATGTTGGGGCCAAAGTGTAACAGTACAACTAATTTTCACTTTCAGTACAGTACTCGACAAATACATGAGATAGTTAAAACTTTATTATAAGCCAGGTGCTGGTGGCTCATGCCTGTAATTCTAGTTACCCAGGAGACAGAGATCATGAGGATCACAGTTCAAAGTCAGCCCAGGCAAATAGCTCTCAAGACCTTATCTCAAAAAACCCATCACAAGAAAGGGCTGGTGGAGTGACTCAAGGTGTAGACACTGAGTTCAAATCTCAGTACCACAAAAAACTTTATTATAATGATTTTGTCTCAAGTGCAGGCTAATATTAACATAAGTTTTCTGAGATAAGATAGGCAAGGCCAAGCTATAGGTTAGTTGTATTAAATGCATTTTGTCATATGGCATTTTCAACATACAATCTTCAACTTAGGATGGGTTTATCATGATGTGAGCCCACTGTAAATCAAGATGCATATGCAGCCGGGAGCCAGTGGCTCACGTCTATAATCCTAGCTACTCAAGAGGCAGAGATCAGGAGGATCACGATTCAAAACCAGCCCAGGAAAACAGTTCAAGAGACCCTATCTTGAAAAAACACAAGAAGTGCTGGCAGAGTGGCTCAAGGTGTAGGCTCCAAGTTCAAACCCCAGTACTGCCAAAAAAAAAAGCATATGCATACAGCAAATACCAAAAGCAAAACAAAGAAAAGACTTGTTGGCTCTCTCTGGGGAGGGAGAAATATACAAGGACCCATCATTTTAATCTGTGGGCATTTGTAATGGATGGCCTTATATGTATAGTAGCTCTATAAAAATATGTCTACATCCTAGTTCCAGGAAACTATGAATGTGATATTTTTTTGTGTGGGGGGTGTCTTTGCGGATATAATTCAGGATCTTGAGATCATCCTGCATTATTTGGGTTAGACTTAAATCAAATGACTAGTGTTCTTTAAGACACAAAGAAGACAGGAGGAAAAGACCTTGCGAGAAACCAAGAGAGAAAGATCGAGGCAGAGATTAGAGTTGTGTAGCCACAAGTAAGAAATAACTGGAGCCATCTAATGCCGGAAGAGGCAAGGAAGGATTCAGCCTTGGAAGGCAGTTTGACACTTCTGATATCTTGGTCTTAGGCCTGGGGCTTCTAGAACTATGACAAAATAAATTACTACTGTTTAAAAGATATTGGAAATTACAACTAGAATAGACCTTCTTTCCAGATAAAGGATATCTATTAAAAACCTACGGCAAGCTGGGCATGGTGGCTCATGTCTGTAATCCTAGCTACACAAGAGGCAGAGATCGTAAGGATCACAGTTCGAGACCAGCCTCGGCAAAAAGTTAGTGAGCCCTCATCTTAGAAAATAAGCTAGGCATTGTGGCTCATCCTAGCACTTGGGAGGCTGAGGCAGGAGGACCTCAAGTTCAAGGCCAGGCTGGGCTACATAATGAGATTCCCCATCTCAAAAGCAAATGAACAAAAAACAGACCTATGGCAAGCGGCAAGGACTAGGGGTGCAGCTCAGTGGTTGCCTAGCATGTGTAAGGTACTGGGTTTGATACCCAGCACCTTGTTTAAACAAGAACACCTACAGCAATCATTATACCTAACAGTGAAACTTTATTTGGCTTCTACTCACTCTCATAGGTTTTGACCAGAGAAGTGAAACAAACAAAACAAGACCCCTTTCAGGCATAGCTATGTTCTGTTTTCCTGGGTTGGCAAAGAGGTAAGGAATGAGCCAAGGGAGGAAAGGACTAGAAGTCAGGAGAAGGCAGGTGGAGATGGCTGGTGATCAAGTATAGCAGCAAAATGCTATAGCCTCCCTTAAAATAAGGCAGGAAGGGTGGGTGACTGGGGGCTGATGGATAGGCATCAGAGCTGAGGGGGTGGGTTGTTCCCAGTTGTAATGATGCAGTATCCATCCCTACCAGTTGGGAGGGCTCCTCCTTCCTCTAAGGGATTGCTCCCTCCACAGCAAAGACTCCTCCTGAAAACCTCTACATTCATCAGTACAAAAAGCTCCAGACTTTATTAAATAAAAGGAGGTAGAAGACAGATAAAGGAATAGGCCACGCCCGACCTTCCTCCTACACATATACAGACATATACACAGATACAACTAAGTAAATGACAGGGGCAGTCAGGGGGTAGGCTGAGGGGCAGAGGGAGGCAGTACCCTCTTTGAGTGGGCCCGGACCCAAGGGTGGGTTAGGACCTGGGCCAGGGGCAGCCGTTCAGAGGGGTTATGCTTGAGTAGCTTGGAGATGAGGTCCTGGGCCCCCTGGGACACAGAAGGAGGGAACTTCAGGTCCACCTGCAGGTGTGGAGAAAGAAGGACTGCGTTTGTGTCATGCTGGCTATGTTTTCCTTGATTACCCATCCTATGCAGAGACTTCCACAGTGCTTTGCAAATCCAGTTTACTCCCAGCCCCTGGCCTCAGCTGCACCCCCACCTTGACAATCCGTCGGTAAGTCTCATTGTGGGAGGCACTCTCAAAGGGTGGGTTCCCCACCAACAGCTCATAGCAGAGTACACCAATGCACCACAGATCCACCTTCTCATTGTGCATACGTCCCTCGATCATCTCTGGGGGCAGGTAGTCCAGGGTGCCACACATTGTCTTCCTCCTGGTGGGATGAAGGAAGTGGGCAGGGCTCCCAGGGCCAGACGGCCTCTCCTTTCTCTGATGCCTAAAGGCAAGGAGCCAAGAGACCCCAGGATGCACGGGGAGAGTGTTCCAACCAAACCAGACAGTACCACTGGGGTAGGGGTGGGGTGGGGTGATAATATAAATTAAAGTGCCAGAGATAGCTTACACACTGGGAAAGCCACACTAGGGTTTCTCTCCTCTCCCCCCAATCCTAACCCTAAGAAGTGTTTATTTTAATAAAATAATCAGATTGAGGGCGATGTTCATCTTAGAATTAAAAGAGAAATTAGACACTTCTCTAACACCAAGCAGGTTCTGCTGAAATAAGTGAGATTACAGCTCTACTGTGCAACACCACAAAGCCACTAAAAATCATGTGGCTAGCCAGGGACTGGTGGTTCACGTCTATCATCCTTGTTACTTGGGAGGCTGAGATCTGGAGGCTTTCAGTTCAAGGACAACTGGGGCATATAGTTCTTGAGACTCCATTTCCAAAATAGAGCAAAATGAACTGGATGTGTGGCTCAAGTGGTAGAGAGCCTGCTTTGCAAACTCCTAACTTTGAACCCCAGTCCCACAAAAAAAGGAAAACAAAGATATGGTTGCCAGGTATAGTGATGCATGCTTGAGCTAGGGATGTAGCTCGGTGGTTGAGCAGTTGCTTAGTGAGAGCAAGACCCTGGATCAATTCCTAGCACTGAAAACAAAAACAAAAATGTGGATAGCCAGACACGATGGTACATGCCTATAGTTCCACCTACTCAGGAGGCTGAGGCAGGATTACTGAGCCCAGAAGTTTGAGATCAGCCTGGGCAACATAGTGAGACCCATGTTCTTAAAAAAACAAGAATTTTCCCAATGATATAGTGAGAAGATCTCAATATATTGAATGGAAAATCTGGACAAGGTGGTTGGGTTTCCTGTTTTTGTAAAGATTTTGCTGTGTCTATATTTGCTTGAGGACAAATCCCAGTGTCCCTAGGTAACAAGATATGGAAGGGTCTTATGTTGAATGTCACAGCCTCCCACTAGGGCTAGTGGCCCAGCATACCTCAGGGAGGGGGCATGCACAGACCAACCGAAGTCAGCAATCTTCAGCTCTCCCTGGAGCCCTAAGAGCAGATTCTCAGGTTTTATGTCTCTGTGAATCACCTTCTTCCCATGGCAGTATATCAGAGCATCCGACAACTCCTCCATGATCTGGAGGGTCAAGGTCAAGCAATCAGGCCTCCAGCTGCAAGCAGCATCCCCTACCTTGGGCTCCCAGTCGGTGCCCCAGATGCCCACCCTTCCCGACCGTGGCTGTTCGCTGCTCATCAAAAGTGCGGCTCTTCTGTAGCTCTTTGTACAGCTCCCCGCGAGGGGCATACTCCAGAATCAAGTAAATCCTCCTCCGGTCATAGAAGTAGTTGTAGAGTCGCAGGATGTTGGGATGCCTGGGGAAGGAACAGAGGAGGCCCCATGCTGCATCCTGGGCCAGGAAGGATGGCAGGGCCCAATGGGCTGACCAGGGATCAGATGTAGGCCAGGGCTGAGAGTAGAAAGAGAAAGCTTGGGGCAGCCACCCTGGACTGAGAGCAAGATGGGGCTTAGATAGCAAAGACAACAACCTAGGAACCTAGGGGCTGAAGGTGTGGGCTCAGAGGCAACCAGCGTACTGTAGGTGGGCCTGGATCTCGATCTCCCTGCGCAGCTGGTGCTCCACACCTTCCTTCTCAATCTGAGACTTGAAAAGGACCTTGAGCGCCACGATGAAATGGCTTTTCTTCTCCCGAGCCAAGTATACATTTCCAAATTTGCCTTTGCCCAGAGGACGCCCAATCTCAAAGTCATCAATTGTGAGGGGCCGCCTGCTTATAAAGTGAGGAAAAGGAAGGCAGCTTAGCACTGCCCTGTTGGTTTCTTCCTGCTCCCTCATCCCCAGGTCCATTTCTCTTCATCCCCACTCCCCCCTGCCCTCAGAGTTCACTTCCCTCATTCCCTGCCTCTTCACTGTACATCCCCCTTCACTCCCAAGCAGGAGGGGAACTTACATGAAGTTGGGGGCCCCAGTGCTATTCTCCACTGCCTTCTGGCCAGGAGCAGCTAAGAAGAAAGCAGATAAGTTGAGTTCCTCCTTTGACATTCTCACTTCCTGCCCTCCCATGGATGCTAGTCCCTCTGATCAACCCGGCAACCTCCATCCCAGATACCTGTGGGCTGGCCATTGGTGTGGTTCATGAGGACAAGTGCAGGAGTGGCAGGGTCCTTCCGGAGGACTCTCTGGGGCAGGGTGTTCAGGCCCAATTGAGACTGAGAAGGAGTAGGGGATATAGCTCTGAGGGTACTTTTGTGCTGGTGACATGGCTGGAATGTGCTACAAGCAGCATTTTAGCTACTTGCTAAAGAGCTACCCACCTACTCACCCCCAGTTCAAAGAAAAACACTGATAACACAATTTGGCTCCCCAGCCCCAAGATTCTGCTCGTAGCCCCATATTTAAAATGGTATTACTAAGAAATAACCTAAGACAAGGAGCAAAGGACTAATACTAACATTCACATTTCACCTCTGATCCTGGCCCACACTACATTCTCAGGAGTGAAGCTATCCAGTACAGTCCTGTCCTGTCCATGTCACCACCCAGCCCCCATACCAGGGGGCAATAGAGTGTTGGATCAAAAGAACAACTGCAATTCAAGGAGTTTAGCAGAGATATTCTAATCCCCTAAAATGATCAGACCGTTAAGACTTGGACCATTAAGGCTTGGATAAGGTCCACGAGGCCTTGAAAGTTGCAGCAAATACCAATAATTAATCCTGTGCAGCAGCGGGTTCTGGGAATACCAAGGGTTACTCTGATGGCCTCGGACCACTTCTTTCAACTTCTCAAAAGAAGAGACACACTTTCTTTTGGGAATGACCGAGGTATAAGTGACAAAAGTTTCTCATCCAGACTCCACTCTTTTTGTGGTATTGGGGTACGAAAGTGCTCTACCACTTGAGCCATTCTGCCAGCTCCGACTCCACTCTTGGCAGCTTACTCAGTGTTCCCTGAAGAAGGGAGCTGGTGAACAAGAGAACAGATGGACTCTCCAGGATACCCAGTTCCCACTAACAGGCCTTTTCTTTCTTCTTCAGCCAAGTGAAGGCCAGTGCCCCTAAAAACCTCTTCCCAATAACTAGTACAGGTTGGAAAATAACCAAATTGAGCAAAGGACTGCCCAGAAATAGATTCAGATCTATGTGGTAATTATATATATATATATATATATATATATATATATATATATATATATAAAATTATATGATAAAAGTAGCATTCAATGAAAGGCATTTGGAAAACATGAAAATAATTCTGTTTGGAATCTTACTTCACACCAGCCATTAAAATAGATTCCAGAACTAGGGATAGAGCAAATCACGAGGCTCTGGTTTTGACTCCCCAGCACCAAAAATAATAAATTCCAAATGACAATTTAGACTTATCCTGTGCGTTTTAAACAGTCATTTTATCTATATTCTTCTAGTCTATTTCCTGCCTAGTTCATTTTTTTCAGGATAAAGGCTGGAATCATGGCCTCAAGGCCAGACCCTGCCTGCTCAGTCCCAGATAGCATTGGTATGTGACAGTAGGTTGGCTCTGCAAAGCTCCTCCCGGGTGGAAGTCACTGGCTGATCAGATTCCTGTTCGCAGCATCTAACAGGATATAGCTGCAAATGATCAGACTGGGCTCTGCGAGCAAATTCTGGGGACCCACGTGGAGGCGCATCACGGGGAAGGATTGCCCTCTGCAGGACCTTAAACCTCCAGGCAGGAACTCGCCTTTCGAGAGAGGTGGGGCGGGGAAGGGGGGCAGGGCCTTACCGTCTGCCGGCCGTAGGGCCAGGGGTAGGCGTTCTCCTTCTGGGCCATCCTTAGAGAAGAAAGGGGAAGGAGAGCTGGGCGGAGAAGGGAAACAGAGCCGTGAGAAGCAGAAGAAACAGGGAGGGAGAGGTCGGACCCACATAGTCGGAAGCGCTAGCCTGGGCTGGCAAAAGAGGGCAGGTGGGCACGTTGGCCAAGGTCGGAGAGCATCCGGGCGCAGGTCTCACCGCCTGTGCCCTGCTACCCGTCGCACCCACTTCGAGGACCCTCATCCCAACCTTGAGAGCTCAGCAGTCCGGCTCTGTGCGCGCGGGCCCACCCAACGGACCCCCGACCTACCTGATCCCCTGCCCTCTCCTGGCACAAGGCCCACAGAAGGAGGGCAGCTCACCTGGAGCCGGTGGCACTGCAACTCTCCCCGTCGCCAGCAAACTACTGAACCTGCCTGGCCGCTCCCCTGCGAGGACACTTTCAAATCTCCCGCTCTGTTCCCATTGGCTGAACTCAACGCCCATACCTAATTCTCATTGGTCAGATTTTCTGTGACGTAGTCGTTGACACCCAAAGCAAGAGGCGGAGGAGAGCCGCAGCTCCCTGGGCTGAGGTTTAGGGAAGTTTCCCAAGTCCCTCAATCATACAGTCTCTTTTCTTTTTTTAAAATTAAAATCTTTAGTATAACCTGAGTTTATCCGTGTGGGTATAAGCTAGCATCTCACTTTGTTTTTTGCCTGATGTAGACCCAATTGTGTCAACACCGTTTGTTGTTTAAATTCTACCCTTAAGTCATTCTCTTCTCTAAAGAAGTCTTGCTTTCAGTCTATTGAAAGTGTATTCCCTTCCTAACAAACCTTACTATCACTTTCACACACACACACACACAATTCACTCTTAGCAAAATCTCCCTGAATACAGTACTCATTCAGCGTCTGTTTCGGTATCAGAGAGGTATTGATAGCAGGACTCTCCACGGATGCTCAAGTCCCCTATGGAAAAATGGCATAGTGTTTGCATATAACATAATATTTGCAATCTCATATACTTTTTTTTTTTTCTTTAGGTACTGGGGATTGAACTCAGGACATACACCTTGAGCCATGCCACAGTCCTTTTTTGTGATAGGGCTTTTCGGGATAGGGTCTTGCAAATTGTTTGCCCAGGCTGGCTTGGAACCTCGATCCTCCTGATCTCTGCCTCCTGAGTAGCTAAGATTACAGATGTGAGCCACCAACGCCTGGCTCCCCTCATATACTTCAAATAACCTCTAGATGGCCTATAATACCTAATACGATGGAAACGCAATACAAATGGTAGAAATACAGTATTGGTTAGAGAATGATGCTGCAGAGAAAGTCTATACATATTCAATATGGATGTAGTTTATTAGAAAGAGAGACAGGTAAGTAGATAGGCAATTGGTTGGATTTGTGGTTGCAGAACTCATGAATATGTAAGGACAACTATTCCTGGTTCTCTATTCTGTTACACTGTCCGTTTGTGTGTTTTCTGTTTTGTTCTTAAAAATCCTTCGCGTTCCTCGGAGGAATTTTCCACTTGCGGCCTTTCTCTCTTGCTGTGCTAATCACACGTGTTGTTTAGACCCACTGTCGCTACTCATTTCCCCCTGCACTTTCTAATCCTCAAATTTCATAATTGAGTTAAATAAATAAATGTACGGACCTTCTATAAAATAACTAGTATGTCTTATCCTTTCTTCTAAGGACACCCTAACTTTCCTTTGGGGAACCACCTGTCTCCCCACTCGGTGTGGTTGTACTGTGTTGATTTGAATTGACCTCTCTGCGGCTCTCTTAACCTTGCTCTTATAATTGCAAGATGGCTGCCAACTACCTCTGTTCTATTTATTTATTTATTTTTACTGCACTGGGGTTTGAACTCAGGGCTTCACACTTGCTTTACCCCTTGAGCCAAGCTCCCAGCACCTCTGTTCCTTTTATTAGGAAAAGTAGACTTTTTAGAATACGTCTTCTTGGTCAGAAATGTATCACATGTCTACTGCAAATGAGGCTAGTAAACTCAGTTTCTCTTCTAGTCACTACAGTGAAAGAAGAAAGGGGAAGGTAGTAGAAATAAACAATTGCTTGCTAGTTGGTTCTGGGGAGCCCATGATTAATTTGAAAAGTCAGAGATGTGTGTACAATGAGGCATCTCCAGAGACTTGGTATCTGGGCCTCTGTTTCCATTTTTGAAAAATCATTTTGCTGCAGCAAGAATACTGTTTTTATTTGGAGTCAGTCCACCTGGACTTCCCACGATCAGGTAGTCCATTTCAACACCAACACATCAGGCATATACAGAGACTAACCAATGAAGGGTTTTATAAAAGTTCCATCTCATGCAATATACTTTATTCCTCATGACCTACTGAAGAAAGACTTCTGGTACCTGTCAGGGGACAGACTGTATGGGTGGATTATACCTGATACATCCAAAATAATATCCCTGTTCCCTAAGGGTCTATAAAATTTGGGCCTTTTCAGGAAAATTGATGGACCAGTCTAGCATTAAGATTTGCATCTTTCATAAAAAAATCAAAAAACTACAAGATCTTCCACCTGTCGGCCCAAATTAGTGAACGAAATTTCTGTTCTCTATTCCACACTTCTAAAATGATTTGTGGAGAAGGATCAGTCTTGATTATTTTGAAACTATCACAGATCAATACTTTTATAGCATATAATACAAATGTACTCCTTGGAAAATTAAATCTAAACAAATGTAAAGATTACAAGCCCACATTTTTTGTCATAGTCAACATACATAAAAATGTGCTGACAGATGGTATAAGAATTTTTGCCGGTGGCTCACACCTGTAATCCTAGCTACTCAGGAGGCTGAGGTCAGGAGGATTGAAGTTCAAAGCCAGCCCCAGTAAATAGTTTGCAAGACCCTATCTCGAAAAACCCTATCACAAAAAATTGGCTGGTAGAGTGGCTCAAGGCTCAAGGTATATGCTCTGAGTTCAAGCCCCAGTACTGCAAAAAGAAAAAGAAAGAAAGAATTTTAACTGCCTACCCTAAAATTCTATACTACTCCTGGACCAGAAAGAAACGGTTCATGAAGTGGCAACAGCCTGTGGACCACACTTTGAATACCACCAATCTGCACCCATAGCAATAAATGCAGCTTTATTCAAAATTATGATCTGGCTGAGTATTGGAGGGCACACCTGTAATTCCAGTGCTCAGGAGGCCAATGCAGGAGGACTGTGAGTTGGAAATCTGCCTGGGTTACATAGCAAGACTCTGTCTCAAACAAAAACAAAACAAAACAAAACAAAAGTTATGTTCTGTACTCCTTGGTTAGGTAGGCTCTAAATCCACTCTTCTGCAAGTGTTTTATTCCTGTATCCTTACTGTTTTGTTCTTTAATTCCTCTACAGATTTCTAAAGGTATAAATTAGCATTTCCTCTGAGTATAATTGGTTTTTTTCCCCTTTACTCTTGACTTGTTTTTCATCTCCCAGGTTCTACTGGCCCAGGGTCAATGTTCTGTCAAGAGCTGATTTTTCACATGACATGGAGGGGTCAGAATTGTTTCATGTGACAAAACTTAGGGCAGGATGGCTAGATTACTACAATGTTGAAAGGTGTCAATGTAATTTTCGTTGATTTATTTATTTATCGGTGGTACTGGGGTTGGAATTCAGGGCTTCACCCTTGCTAGATGGGTGCTCTATAGCTTGAGCCATGCCCCCAACGCTATTTATTTACTTATTTTTATCTATTTATTTTTAAAGGGTAAAGCAGGAGAGTCTATTGAAAAGTGTGAAGTAGGAGATTAGAGCCTCCAGAGGGGGGGGTTTCCAAGAGTGGATACCCTATTTATTTATTTATTTTTATCCAGGGTCTCCTGGCTCAGATCCTTAGGAATGAAAGTCTGAATCCCACCAGGTAAAGAATCATAATTAAGTTGGGATGCTGTGGGCCAGCTACTCAGGAGGCAGAGGCAGGAGGATCCTTTGAGTCTTAGACTTGGAGGCCAGCTTGGGCAACATAGTAAGATTTTGTCCCCCAAAACTAAATAAAAACACAACCAGTTGAGATACTTGCTGAAGACAAAGGGAATATACAATGGATAGAGGAAGAAGGTAAAGTATTTATAAATATTAGCCACCACTAGGTGACCAGTAGAGAAATAAATATCCTGAGTATTTCTTCCCTTATTTTGTTATGTTATGAATATATTTGTGTGTGTGTGTGTGTGTGTGTGTGAGAGTGACAGAGAGAGAGAGAGAGCATGCTAATAAATGAGGGTAAAAAGAATTAGAATTAGAAAATTACCATTTTGCATCCTCTTCTTAAAATAATTAATTCAGGCAAGGTGCTGCGGTTTGGGGGCCAGTGGGGAGGGCATGACAGGTGTCCCTGTCCATGTCCCAGTCCCACCTCCTCCCCCACCTTGCCTTAGTTCACCAGAGTTCCTAGGCTCTGGGTAGCCTTGCTACATCACCAGCAGGTCTCCAGCTCCATCACACACAACTTCTGCAACAAAGGCCTCTGTCTTGCTTGGTACATGTGACACCGTGACCCATCTGTCTGAAGGGAGGGCGAGGCACAAATTCTAGCCTGGGCTGTGGTTGTTGTATGGATGGTGCCCAGAGGATTCAAATTCCTTGCAACCCAAGACTGCTACATTAACAAAGGAATATTTACCTGAGGAAAGAGATGTTGGGAATTTCTTTGTATTTTCTTCAATATACTGACAGCAGCAAACATGCATATAGTTCCAGGCTCAGTGAATGATGAGAACTCTAGAGAAAGGTATTATTTGTATCTAATATCCTGAGTTCTACTCCAAGCTAGAGATAATTAAAAACATTTTAAAAATTGGAGCTCAAATTCTAAATACAAGAAGACAACACTGGAAAAATTAATAGTAGAGTAAACAATGGGGGAGGGAGGCAGGCTGGAGAAATGACCCAAACAATGTATGCACATGTGAATAAATGAATAAAAAAAAAGAAAAGAAAAGAAAATAGAGTAAAAAAGAAAGAAATTGATATTTGATAAATTGAATTTGATAAAGTCATAGCACAGCCTGGTGGTGCACATCTGTAATCCTAGCACCGAGGAGGCTGAGACAGGTGGATCCTAAATTTGAGGCCAGCCTGGTCTACATAGAGACCCTGTCTCAAAAAAAAAAAAAATTGATGTTTTAAAAAGTTATACAGCCCTAGTTAGAAGTTCAGCTAAGGAGAATTGTTAGCTAGGAGCTAAAGTCTCAGGCTTTTATGTCACAGACCTACTTCAGCAGAGGCAAGTTAAAAGGAACAAGGATGCCCAGGATAGCAATTTAAATAGCAAGAAAAAAGTGCAGATAATCGGACAATGAAAATGTCCGACTTCAGAAAATTCGCTTAATAATTTATAGATTTATCATCAAGTTTTAGGTTATCATTACAATTTCAAGGAATCATATTTCAATGGAGTCAACCATTAGCGTAAAATAATGGAGCACAAGATTGGACACCTCAGGCAAAATGTAAGTTAAAATGTCAAAAATGAAAACTGGATAATGATCATAATGACTATTACTACCTTAAAACTGATTATTCCCACATTCTCCTTTTTTTTTTTTTCATTGAATACAAGTAGC